GCGGGGCTAGGGCCGGAAGGAGCGTTCGCGCGTGCGGGGCGGCCCAGGGGCCCAGAAGGCGCGGGGCGCGCACGCGCGTCAGGAGGCGGCGGAGGCGGGAATGGGGCCGCCCCAGCAGTGTCGAGTCCTTCGGTGCTGCAGCTGCCGCCTCTTCCAGGCGCATCAGGTGGGCCCCGAAATAGTGTCAGTGACATTCTGAGGACTGGGTCTTTTAGTGGTGCGGTTGGCCCATGTCGTCGTTCCCGACTTTTTGTTTCCGGAAGAAACGGCTTTTGTGGAAAGTAGAGGTAGTGGTTCCTTCCCCGACGGTCTCTCGAGACTGCGGGAGCTGGGAACACACGCTGAGGTAGCGTCCTTTGGGAAGACCCTCGTTCCCACAGTGCCTGGTTCTCAGTTTAAGGACAGGGAGAGGACGGTTCGCAAAGCGAACCCTGGAGACGGAGCGCCGCGGAGGCGCGGTCGGGACGCCCTCTCTGCGCCCCGACGCCCTCTGGTGTCGCGCGGTGCCTGTGTGCCCTCCTGTGCCACAGACGCCTGCAGCGTTTTGAACTAGGCACACTGGTTTTTCTTTGCTTTTTTCGGTGCTAGGGGTTGAACTCCAGGACCTAGCGTACGGTAGAGTAGTGGATAATTCTAAGACCTAGTGACTAACCTGACTTGCAGCCTTTGAGATAGAGGATGTCCCGAACCCAGTTTTTCTAAATTTTACGCTGCTTGCTGTCACTTTTCCAACAGTGTGTCCAACCATTTCTGATAGTTCCCTCTCCTTATTTGGTGTGTCCTAAGAAAGAATAGCATCAGACTTCTTTAAATGTTTGTTAAAGTCGCAGCTGTGCGTAGTGGCACACACCTGTAATCGCAGTTCTCTGGAGGCTGAGGTAGGAGGGTCTTTGCGAATTTGAGACCAGCCTGGGCTATAAAGTGAGCTCAAGGCCAGCCTGAACTGCATAGTGAGACCCTGTTTCAAAAAAGATAGATAGATAGATAGATAGACAGACAGACAAATTTATATTTGTTAGTAAGTTTGTGAGTAGGCGGCCGGGCCTGGTAGCCCAAGCCTGTGATCCCAGCACTCCGGGAGGCAGGAGGATCACATCGAGTTCAAGGCCAGCCTGAATTGCATAAGGAGAGCCGTCTCAAAACAGCAGCAGCAACAAAAAAGATGCTAAGTATGCATCTCTAACCTTGCATTCAGGGCTGAGAGTTTGAAGAGGTTCAGAAGCTTTTTACTTAGTTCTTTTTTGGTACTGTATTCCAAGAGTTGAGAATAATTGGAAATCCTTCACATTTTTAAATTATTATATCGGTATAATGTGCATTATTGTTAATTTTCATCTCTTAAGAAAGGTGATTTGAAAGAGAAGAGAAAGTTAGCTTACAAGTGTGCCTTACAGTTTGACACCTCTCATGTAATTTAAGAACCTCTGAATTAGGTATCATTTCTGTTATGGTTTGTGTCTGGATGACCCCCTCAAAGCCTCATGCAGTCATCGGGGTCAGGCTTTTCCAAGGCCACTGAATCTAGAGTTTGTGATGGGTTCATTGTCTAGTGGTGGGATTGGGGGCGTGAGTGATACAATGTAAGAGAGGAAAAGAGGCTTGCTCCTCCCTCTTGTTCTGGTTGCTTTAGTTGTCTTCTGTTGTCCTGAACTGTTGTTCCTTTGCCATATGCTGCCCTGCCTTGGAACCAGCTGATTATGGACTGAAGCCTCCACAGACCGTGAGCTAAATAAACCTTTCCTTAACTTTGGGTGTCAGGTATTTTGTCTCAGCAACGAGAAAAAAGTAACTACAACAAAATTGGTACCAGGAGAGTGGGGTCATTGCTGTGATGTTGCCTGGCCATGGCTTAGGAATTAATTTGGAAAGGTTTTGAGAGACTGGCTGAAGAGGCAGCCCCTGTGCGTTATAAACTATATGGGAGACTGGTCAGAGCCTGGGAAATCAGAGTTCTAATGGAGATGCTGCCAATTAAGATAAGGGTCGGGAGACTTCTACTGAGAAGGACTGTATTGGCTGCTGGATCCCAGGTGGTGTATGTTGTGCTTTGGCAGGAAGTTTGTCTGCATTTTGCTTGTGTTAGAGATATTGTGTGGGTGGCAGAAAAATTTCAATGCAGTCTACTGTTAGAACGGTGGCATGGATACTACTGAGAGCTTTTGGCCAGATCTGTGTTGGAAATTAAGAGGGAAGAGCCAGCAGGGTGTTTTGAAGCATTTGGCCAAAGGGAAGGCTCCAGTGGAGCTGTGGATTGCAAGGATGAAACAGGAAAATGTGGTTGCTGAGAGGAACAGCACAATGGAAAAATGAACTGAAGACTTTCACCAGGCGGGAAGAGTATATTTGAAGCGCAGGATCCCTTGGGCCATTTCTCAGTGTTGAAAGTTAATGGGAATCAAGGATTGTGATTGTTATATCTCTTTAATATTTTTTTTTTGGTACTGGGAATTGAACTCAGGACCTTGCGCTTGCCAGGCAGGCACTTATGCCACTGAGCTATATCCCCAGCTCTTTAATATGATTATAATGTAGTTTTTAGATTATGTTTGTAATCAGGTGGTTTTCACTTTGAATTTTGATCACCCTTTGAATATTTTGCCTTCAGTGTGGAAATGAGTGCAGTGAGAATTGTATATATGTAATTGTTAATGTAAATCTGAATAGACCAAGACATGTTAACTTTTCACAGATTTACCACTGGAGACTATATTTTAAGGAAATATCTGGTTATCAAGTTGACCAGGGATGGATTTTGGGGTTTTTTTGTTTGTTTGTTTTTTGTTTTTTCTATATGTATGCTTTTTTTTTTTTTAAAGAGTAAAAGAAGGATAACATAATAATGGGGGGGCTTACCAAATTACAGACAAAGTGGTAGGAAATTATCAATGGTTATTGTTTTACATATTGTTATCTACAAGATAGTTTCTCAGGAAAACAAATAGACAAATAATAGTGAGTTACAGACAAAAGAGGTAGATTATCAATAGTTGTTGTACTCAGGCATCTTCAAAGTGGCTTCTAAAGAATATAAATAGAACTATACATGAGTGACCTATTGAATAATCATTAACTATTCTCAATGGTTGTTGTAGGAAACACATAATAATAAACATGCATCCATTTATGAAATAGGATAGGAACAATACAAATATTACAGAGTTATGGATAGATTAGTGGGAAAATATCAATGACTGCTGTAATACATGTTGGTATCTTAGAAGTGGTTTCTCAGGAAGACAGAGATACGCAGAAGGATCTAACAAGTAGTTACAGCCTAAGGGTTGTCAAAAATCAAGTGAGCCGTCTGGGGCGAAAGCCATTTTTTGTAGCATTTTCTCTCCAGCCTCCCATCGCATTGGGACCCCACAACCAGTTAGTGTCCTCTCCCCAACTGTCAGCACAGGCAGCAGGAATCCTGCTGCAGACTTCTCTGGAGCTCCACCACAGCCTGTACTGTCAGAGGAAGAATGGCTTCCAGGGAGTCTCCGCAGGTATTGTGCAAGGTCCTCCTGGTTTACAGCTTCTGAGCGGCTCTCACGGCCCCAGTCCACAGGACCTCTGACCCCTCGGGCTTAGTCTGCATTGTCATGTTCTCAGAGTCCTTGTTCCGCAGCTGCTCTTCTGCTGACTCTGGACCTTTCTGGTTCTCAATGGCAGGAGCAAGAGTGGCCCGTTGTATAGCATGTATTCCCAGGGGTTTTTCCATGTTTGAATGATTCACACATGTCCCAGGGTGGGCATCTGCAGCCAGTGCATGGTGGGCCAATTGTGTCATTGTTTCTCTGTGTCATGATAGTTCTTAATTGAGCAGCGGCGGCCGGCCTAAGGGCCGGCGCACAACAACGCTCGCCGCCACATGGCTCCCTGTGCACCAGGGGCCTTCCCTCCGGGGGCCTTCGAGGCAGGAAGTGAGCCAGCCGGAAGACCGGCTCTCCCCGCCTGTGGCTCCCCGTGCGCCAGGGGCCCTCCCTCCTGGAAGTAAGCCAGCCAGAAGACAGGCGCTCCCCGCCTGTGGCTCCCCGTTTGCCAGCGGCCCTCCCTCCAGGGGCCTATGAAGCAGGGAGCAAGCTGCCGGTTGGAAGACTGGTGCTCCCTGCCCGTGGCTCCCCATGCGCTGGGGGCCCTCCCTCCCCCAGGGATGGATTTTGATAGATTAACTAATGGTCAATTTGTAACCCCCAGGTGAACTCAATCAGGGTGGTGCTGGGTGTAGAATGTTCACCTGAGGATTGTTGCCAGCTGCATAAAAGGAGAACTGGAGGGGAAGATGGTGTGCTGTTGATTCTCCTGGAGGAGCTTGTCATGCTGGCTTTCCTGATATGAACTCAGCTGTTCTAATCATCGGAGGATAGCTGGGTTCTCTTCAGGGGAACTCCAGTCTTTACTTTGAGCATCACTCCCTGACTCCAGTGCTGCAGATCCCTCAGCCTGCTGACACAGATCCTTCCTCCCTCCAGCGTAGACTTTCTAGCTTCCACTGCTGGCCTTTGGGCCTTCCCAGCATATATCCTTGATACAGACTTGCATGAGACATTGTCTTGGAGTCGTGGCAGAACACTGCTATGGGATCCAGGCCCTCAGCTGGATTCTTTGAGTCTCTAGTGTATGGACAGATCTGCAACACTCTTTTGCATTTGACTCTTACAGTGAATATTATAAAATAATCCTATAAATTATGTGTCCTGTATTTTATCTTTTCCCTTGTAAACCCTGACTATGATAATTCCCATCTCCAGAAGTAAAAATACTGAAATGGAGAGAAATCCAGTGGTTTTGCCATCTAATAAACGTCAGAGCCAGGACTATACA